CGGTCCCTGTGCGTGTTCTCTGAGCCGCACAGAGACCAGGCCGCGATTCGCGATGTGGTCAGCAGAGTTGCTGGCTAGAGGGCGGGAAGATCATCGCGCTCCGCGCTCAGCTCCACGCGACGCGCGAGGTGGCGTGACCTGGGGGCCCGAGTCCTCGGCGTCCTCTCTTCCTCCCGCGGCCGCTCCGGCTCCTCAGCATGCCGTGCTGGTGATCCCTCCGGCGTGCACATCCAGTACCGAACAAGCCTTGGTGGTCTCCAAACCAGGTGGTGAGACACCCGGTGGTGACCCCGATTCCTTCCCAAAATAATTCTGGGTCACCACCGGGTTTTGGGACACGCGATCGCCACGAGGTTTTGCGTTTCCTGGGCCAGCCAGCGCTCGAAAACCATTACCCAAATCGCCCAAAACTCACCACCGGGTGTTCTCACCACCACGTTTGGGGACCACCAAAAGCCCGAGGCGCGCAAGCGGCGGGGCCCGCAACGGAGCTGTGCGACACAGCGGCGCAGGTCAGGTCGTGCTGTGGATCTGCCGGCGTCTTGCAGGAGGAGCCTCCCCCTCTGCAGCCGGCTACCCGTTGGAACTGGGGCCTGTCGCAAGATCGGGTCCTGGACCTCTGGGGGCCTCTCCGGGGGACGGGCCTCTCATCCCGGCTCGCCTCTTGACGGCCTCGGGGCCCTGGGAGGGCCTTGTGAGGCGGAGGAAGAGCAGAAAGAGGAGGGGGGACGGCGGTGGAGCCTCCGCAACCACCCTCCCTCTTTCTACTCCTCCTCCGCTCCTCCTCCTCCTCTTCTTCGTCGTCGTCCTCCTCCTCCTCCTCCTACTCCTCCTCCACAGTGGAGGAGGAGAAGTGGGGGGGTGAACGTGTTCTCCACTGAAAATGATTTAGAGTTGGCGTGCCGTGGTGGCGAGGAGGAGGAGGAGAAGGAGGAGGAGGAGGAGGAAAGGAGGCGGAGCTGGAGGAGGAGGAGGAGGAGGAGGAGGAGGAGGAGGAGGAGGAAAGTGAGGAGGAGGACGATGACCAGTGTAAACCGAAGAGTCATCAACGATGTTGGAATTCACACTCCCTCCAAGCTCTATCTTTATATGCCCCTACGAAGGTTCATTTCCGTTGAGGGAACTGCCTCGTTGGAAAACGAACGTTTGAAGATCCTGAAGCATTCCAAAGCATCGTTTTCGGGACCACGGATCAACCGGGCTGCTGCGTCTTGACGATCTGGAATCGTGCCAGAACGCCGTTCTTGGGACTTCAACACCGCGAATCAACGTAACTATTGCGCACACATAACCCAAATCTTTCCGAAACGTTATTTCTGGTACGTTTATCATGGGAAACGGCGAAACTCTGTGCAAGTGTTTAAAATGAATGTGCGCGGCGCTGAGGCGAGAGCCACATTTTGAAAACCACCCGCCCTCAACCCGTGAAACTCTGGCAAATGTTAAAAAACGAATGTGCGCGGTGCTAGGGCGAGAGCCACATTTTCAAAACCACCCGCCCTCAATCCGTGAAGCTCTTGCAATTTTTGTAAAAAGAATGTGCGCGGCGCCAGGGCGAGAGCCACATGATGAAAAGGAACCACCTTCAATCCGTAAAACCCCTGCATTTTCAGAAAAAGAAAGAACGTGCGTGGCGCTAAATCGAGAGCCACATTTTGAAAACGACCCGCCCTCAATCCGTGAAGCTCTTGCATTTTTTGTTTATTAAGAAACAACGACTGTGCGCGGCGCTGAGGCGAGAGCCTCATTTTCAAAACGACCCGCCCTCAGTCCGTGAAGCTCTTGCACATGTTTAAATCGAACGTGCGCGGCGCTAAGGCGAGAGCCACATTTTCAAAACCACCCGCACCCAATCCGTGAAGCTCTTGCAGTTCTCTAAATCGAACGTGCGCGGCGCTGAGGCGAGAGCCACATTTTGAAAACCACCCACCCTCCAACTGTAACATTGTTTTCCATGTCTAAACTTCAGAGACATAAATGTTGAGGAAGTCTCAGGCGAAACGCCCGGCCCGCCCTAACAACTGGCTTCGGGGTGCGACAGGGAGAAGTTAGGTATAAGGAAAGGGAATGGAGGAGGAGGACGAGGAGGAGGAGAAGGATGAGGAGGATGAGGAGGAAGACGAGGAGGAGGAGGAGGAGGAGGAGGAGGAGGAGGAGGAGGGGGAGGAGGAGGAGGAGGAGGAGGAGGAGGGGGAGGGGGAGGGGCAGGGCGGGGAGGACGAGGAGCAGGAGGAGGAGGAGGAGGAGGAGTAGGAGGAGGAGGAGGAGGATCTTGCAGGATCTTGCAGGTCAAACCTTCGAGGCGGCGAATCAAACCGAATTGCGGCGAAGAAGGTTTCCCCTACTCCAGACTCCAGGCCCTCCCTGGGCAAGAAAGTTCGGTTCCAGTCTGAATGTCCTGTCACGAGCGGGTCTCTGCATTGCAGCTGAGACTGACTCGTCCGAACCTCTGCGGCAGCAGGGCCTGCTGCCGCTGTCTTGGCTCTCGCACGACCCCGATCCTCGCTCTGTAGCTGAGAATCTGCCCCACGGCCCCACGAGCATCTGCACGCACGAGTTGTTCCCAGCACCGTGGCGACGATACACGCCGGTCGTTAAGTAGGTATTTTTGGATTCCCAGATCCCAATCTATTTCAAGCGCTTTACCACTTCACGAATCGACACGCTGTTGCTGTGCTTTGTTATTCTCTGGGGGGCCTGGAGCCAATCCACTTTAACCGCCTTCCTACTTGATGTTTTTACCTACTTTTTCCGACCGACGTGTATATCTCGCGCGAGCTGCCCCTGGCACCACTTTTACAGTGTAGCTCTGTGCGTTTGGTCTCGGGCTCGAGCTCTGCCTCCCACTTCTCACGAGTGGCCGCTGTTGGCCGTTCTCGCACGCTTTTTTGCTAGCGCTGGCAGTTATGGCATCGGGCACTTATTTCGCCTCCCGCTTCTCGCATAATGGTTGGGGAGCCGCCTGCCATTCGCCCTATGCGCACGCCCTAATTCCAGCGCTGGAGCTGATGACATCGAGTCTGTGCCTCGCCTTCCACCTCTCGTTGACAAGCGACAGGGTACGCTGCCGCTGCATGCCGTTTTCACCCACGTTGTGCCCGGCGCTGTGGCCAACCAGCTCGGACTCCAGCTCCGCCTGCTTCCCGCAGGATGCGGCCATGACCGCCTGCTGCTGCTCGCCGCTCTCGCACGCCCGGATCGCAGCGGTGTGGCAAGATGGCATCGGGCTCGGACCTCGCCTCCCGCTCCTCGCCGAGCGGTCCAGTGCCGCGGCTCTGGAGCAGCGACAGGGGCTAGACTTGCCGATGTGCTCCAGCCCCGCCGCCCGCTTCTCGCACAAGGCCCTCCGCATGGCCCCGCTTCCCGCTCCGCGGCTGCCGCCCTGCCCGCTTCCAGGGCGCATCTCCTCCGGCGGTGCCGCCGGTGGCGTCTGGCTCCGGTCTCGTCTCCCAGGGCTCGCAGGCTTCTCGCACGCCCTGGTTCCCGCAGTGCAGCTGCTGACATTTACTCTCTGGCTCCAGCTGTTAGGGGGCCACATGCGAACCCTACCCCTACCCCCCACGATTTCTGAGGGGGAGGGTGGGGTTCACTTCGCTCGGGAGCTCCCGAACGAAGTGAACCCCACCCTCCCCCTCAGAAATCGTGGGGGGTAGGGGTAGGGTTCGCATGTGGCCCCCTAGCTGTGCCTCCAGCTCTGCGCGGCCACGTTTGGCCACGCTCGCACGGCGCGAGGCCAGCACTGGAGGTGATGCCCTGATTCCAGCGCTGCAGCTGATGGATTCGGGTTCGTCCTCTGCCGTCCCCTCGCTCTCGCTCACGGTGGCTACAACTTCTCGCCGTCGCCGCGCTGTAGCTGATGACGTCGGGCTCGTCCTTCGCAGCCCCGCTGCCACCGCCTGCTTTCTCGCACACGCGGTACTTAGCGCTGTTGCTCACACTGTAGCTGATTATGTAGGGCTCCGGATCTGTTCCCCAACTCGGCTTGCGCTCCGTCCGATGCTGCCACTGCTCGCCTGTCTTGATGGAGGAGGAGGAGGAGCAGGAGGAGGAGCAGGAGGAGGAGGAGGAGGAGGAAGAGGAGGAGGAGGAAGAGGAGGAGCGTCAGGGCTGGCTGCCACTTCTCGCTCTGCTCGTGGGCGCTGCTGCCAAATGCGCTGTTGCCGTGGACTCTGGGCTTTTGTAGCTCTGCTCGGCGCGGCCGGTTGCACCACGCTCTGCCCGGTAGTAAGAAAAGTACACGGCGGTGCTGCGAGAGCCACATTTTGAACGCGAGTCGACCTCTATGCCGCCTATGCCTGTAGCTCTTGCAAGATCTCAGAAAATGGACGCGGCTCCGAGGCGAGACAGCCATCTCGAACGCCACAGGCCCTCCATCCCTGTAGCATGTCTGAGCGAAGCTGGGCGGCACTGGAGCGAGACTCCCATTCTGAAACCACCATCGTGCATTATTATAATTCCCTCGTGCTTTTAGGACGAAGGTGTGCGGCGCTCAGGCGAGAGCCACATTTGAAAAGCCACCTGCCCATCGTCCTTTTAGCTGTTGCGCGCCTTTAGCAAGAGTGCGCGCTGAGCTAGGGCGAGAGTTCCATTTTGAAAACCACAGGCCTGCATCCTTGTACTTAGGCTGTTGCAAGCTTCGAGAAACAAAGTGCGCGGTGCTGAGGTGACAGCCGAGTTTCAAAATCACAGGCCCTCCATCATTGTAGTTGTTGCAAGCGTTCGGGACGAATGTGCGTGGCGTTGAGGTGAGAGCCACGTTTGAAAAAACACTGGCCGTCCATCCTTAGCTTTTGTAGAATGTTCAGACGTCAGGACAAGAATTTGCAAGAAAATCTCAAGCGAAGCGCATGGCCTGGCCTACTGGCACGCCTGGTGGTGCGGCAGGGGGGAGTTACTTATCAGGAGAAGGGATGGAGGAGGAGGAGGAGGAGGAGGAAGAGGAGGAGGAGGAAGAGGAGGAGGAGGAAGAGGAGGAGGAGGAGGAGGAGGAGGAGGAGGAGGAGGACGAGGAGGAGGAGGAGGAGGAGTGTGAGGAGGAGTAGGAGGAGCACCGTTGGCCGGCCGCACTCTTTGCCCAGCCCCGGGGCGCGACCCCGGCGAGGGCCATGGCCGCACGGCGCCCCGCGGCGGCCGCGGCCCTGGGGCTGCTGGCCCTGGCCGTCCAGGTGCCGGCGCTCGTCCACCAGCCGCAGTCCGGCGGGGCCGCCCTGCGGGCGGGCACGGGCGAGCGCCCTGTGGGCAGGGGGGCCCAAGGAGGAGGAGGAGGAGGAGGAGGAGGAGGAGGAGGGGGAGGAGGAGGAGGAAGAGGAGGAGGAGGAGGAGGAGGAGGAGGAGGAGGAGGAGGAGGAGGAGGAGGAGGAGGAGGAGGAGGAGGAGGAGGAGGAGTCTCAGAGGAGGCCAAAGCACGCAAGCCTCTGCCCCTGCCCCCGCTTGCCCCTCCCCCTTCTGGGGCGCCTCGGTGGGCCCTCGTCGCCGCTGCTGGGTTCGCCTCGCAATGTCCTGGTCAGAGCGCACCCCGGGAGAGGTCCGGGGAGCGGCGGTATCGGTACCTTTCGGTCTCCCCAGTGTGGGCAAGGGGCCCTGAGGGAATCTCGGGGGCGTCCAGGAGGGGCTGAGGACTGGGGGTGTATGTGGGCATCCTGGCCCAAGCCATCCATGGGGTGTCCCAGGTGTCATGGCCCCCTCTTCTTGTTGCCATGCCATTTATACTTTTCTTCTTCTTCTTATTCTTCTTACTCCCATTCTCCTTATCCTTCTTCCAATGCGTTCCCTGGCCCCCCCCTGGTCCACGTACATGCCTGGGGCCAGGATGCGCTGGCCTTTGTTCTCGTGCGCCCCCCTCTGGCGCACCCGAGTGAAAAACTGGTCGTATGGTTTTTTTCCAACCTGTTTTCGGGCTGCCGTGGGCCTTCACGGGGCCCCCGGGACCTGCAACAGAACAGCTCTGGGACGAGACTCTCACCCTGGGGGAAGGCCCTGGGGCCCACTGAGGAGGAGGAGGAGGAGGAGGAGGAGGAGGAGGAGGAGGAGGAGGAGGCCCTCCTGCCGAGGCGAGCGCGCCGTGGCGTCCACCGCGGAGCGGAGGCCGACGGGGAGCGAACAGCTGCAGAAGCCCGAGCCCTGGGAGGTCCGCGCGGATTGGTGTGGCCCGCGCGGGGCCCCACTCCGGCGGGGCCGGCGCCGCTCTTGGCGCGATCCGCGCGCCAGGGTTCCATCGGGCATGTCCCTCTGCAGAACTCACCCCGTCCTGGTCTTTAACACGTTGGATGTATGGGCTTCTCCTCCTCCTCCTCCTCCTCCTCGATCCTCGCTCCTCCTCGCTCCTCCTCGCTCCTCCTCGCTCCTCCTCCTCCTCCTCCTCCTCCTCCTCCTCCTCCGCCTCCGCCTCCACCTCAGGATAGCCAAACAAATAGCCAGGGAACCTTTTTTTTGTACACATGTGTTGTTCCTCTTCCAGAGACCGCCTGCAGGAGGACATGCCCGACCTGACGCCTGGGGGGGTGGTCTGGCGCCCCTCCGAGAGATTTGCGCGGACCTCCGGAAGTGTGCATGTATGCAGCTCTTTGCTGTTCTGCGAGGGACGAAGGGAATGAGTCGGACTCCTCGCTGGGCAGCGCGCGCAAGGCTGAGGCGCGGGAGACGAGGGCGGCGGAGGTGCAGCTGCTGAAGGTGGAGTCCAAGAAGCTGCAGCCCGAGGCTCGGCAGCTGGAGTCGGAGGCCGGGATGGCGGCCTTCTACGCCGAGATCGACGCCTACTTTGAGAACGCCGCGCCGCTGTGGAAGCAACTGGTCGTTCCCTTTGTGGCCGTCGTGGCGGGGCTGCCGCTGATGCGGTCCGAGGGGGCGGCCACCACGATCGGCAAGGTGTGCATCTTCTTTGGCGCGCAGACTTTCATGAACCTCTACATGAAGGTCGTCCTTTCGGGTAGCATTGTTTCCAGGGAGCTGCATCTCAAGGGCTACCCGGCGGCCTTCGCCGTCACGGGTATTCAGCAGGTGGCGAGCTTTGCCATCATCTTGTTGGGGATTGCCATCCTGTGGTTCTCGCCGTGGCGCTACAAGCCTGTCATCGTCGACACGAAGCTCGGTTGGCTGACGGTGCTGGCTTTCTCGGTCACCTTCACTTTGAACATCTCGCTCAATAACTTCAGCCTGTCGCTGCTGCCGCTATCGGTCAACCTCATCATGCGGTCGTGCTCGCCGCTGTCGACCTTCCTCTGTGAGATCGCAATGGACAGGTTGTCTGGCAGGAGCGTCAAGAACATCAACACGGTCGAGGTCTCGACGATGCTCTTGGGCATTGTGTGCGCCGGCCTGGCCGTGGTTGGCAAGACTCAGATTTCGAAGGCCAGCGCGGACCCGGAGGCCGGTTCCAACGTCGTCTTGGGTGTCCTCGTTTGCTTGGCCTCCCTCGCCTCTGCCTCGCTGAACATGGCCCTGGTGGGGCTGATGGGCACCAGCCTGAAGATGAATCCCATAGACACGGCGCTGTACATGGCTCCGCCGTCGGCGCTTATGCTGCTCGTGCCCATCTTCTTCATGCCTCACCCGACCGAGTGGCCTGGCGCTATGCTGACCGACTGGCAGATCACGAAGACGGTGGCTGAGCACGCCCCCGACGTGCTTGGCCTGGCGTTCCTGTCTGGCGTTTTCGCGGTTGCCTACAACGTGCTGACTTACTTCTTCGTCCAGACGCTCTCTGCCACGCATGCCGCCTTCGCTTCCAACTTCAACAAGGCCGCCACCATCGGCATCGCCGTCATGGTTGGCCTCGAGACGCTGGTCCTCCAGGGCTGGGGCATCATCATGGCTGCAGGCATCGCTGGCAACATCGGTGCCTTCACGGCCTACAGCGTCGTCAAAGCCTCCGGCTCCAGTGCCCACAAGAAGTGAGGGCACCCCGCACTGGAGGAGCGGGGCGGCAGCAGCGGCAGGGCGGGGGCCGAGGCAGCAGGAGGGCCGCGCACGGAGGACGGGCGACGGGGCGCGGAACGGAGGAGGCAGGGCAGCAGCAGCAGCAAGGGCGGGTGGCCGGGGAGCAGGAGTAGCAGCACTGGGGCGGGGAAGGCTAGCGCAGAAGGGGGGGCGGGGGAGCGGGCAGCGGGGAGAGGAGGAGGAGGAGGAGGAGGAGGGAGGAGGAGGAGGAGGGAGGAGGAGGAGGAGGAGGAGGAGGAGGAGGAGGAGGAGGAGGAGGAGGAGGAGGAGGAGGAGGAGGAGGGAGGAGGAGGAGGAGGAGGAGGAGGGAGGAAGGAGGAGGAGGAGGAGGAGGAGGAGGAGGAGGATGAGGAGGAGGAGGAGGAGGAGGAGGAGGAGGAGAGGAGGAGGAGGAGGAGGAGGAGGAGGAGGAGGAGGAGGAGGAGGAGGAGGAGGAGGAGGAGGAGGAGGAGGAGGAGGAGGAGGGAGGAGGAGGAGAGGAGGAGGAGGAGGAGGAGGAGGAGGAGGAGGAGGAGGAGGAGGAGGAGGAGGAGGAGGAGGAGGACCAGTGTAAACCCAAGAGTCATCCACGATGTGGGAAATAAAGACTCCCTCCAAGCTCCGTCTTCATTGGCCCCTACAACGGTTCAGTCCCACTGAGGGAATTGCCTCGTTGGAAGACAACCGTTTGAAGACCCTGAAGAAGCATGCCAAGACATTGTTCACGGGATTCCGACGCCACGGATCAACCTGATTGGTGCGTCTTGACGATCCTGAATCGTGCAAGAACGCCAAACATGGGACGCACACACCGGGAATCAACGTCATTGTCGCGCCCTCATAATCCCAAAACCTTCCAAAACGCGATTTCTGGTACGCTGATCACGGGAATCCGTGAAACTCTTGTAAATCTTAAAGCGAACATGCGCGGCGCTAAGGCGAGAGCCACATTTTGAAAAAGAACCGTCCTCCACCAGTGAAGCTCTTGCAAATGTTTAAAAGGAATGTTCACGGCGCTGGGGCGAGAGCCACATTTTGAAACCACCCGCCCTCGATTCGTGAAGCTCTTGCAATTTTTTAAAGCGAATGTGCGCGGCGTTCAGGCGAGAGCCACGTGTTGAAATCACCCGCCCTCAACCCGTGAAGCTCTTGCAAGGTTTTAAAACGAATGTGCGCGGCGCTGAGGCGAGAGCCGCATGTTGAAAACCACCCACCCTCAACCCGTGAAGCTCTTGCAAATGTTTAGAACGAATGTGCGCGGCGTTCAGGCGAGAGCCACATGTTGAAAGCCACCCGCCCACCATCTGTGAAGATGTTGCCACTTCTTAAGCCTCAGGGCCATACATGGTGAGGAAGTCCAAGGCGAAACGCCCGGCCCGCCCTAAAAACTGGCCTCGGGGTGCGACAGGGAGAAGTTATTCACAAGGAGAAGGAATGGAGGAGGAGGAGGAAAAGGAGGAGGTGGAGGAGGAGGAGGCAGAGGAGGAGGAGGAGGAGGAGGAGGCGGAAAATGGGAAGGATGATGATGATCAGGAGGAGGAAGAGGAGGAGGAGGAGGAGGAGGAGGAGGAGGAGGAGGGGGAGAAGGAGTTCTGGAGTTCTGGGTATGGCGACAGTGTCGGTTACGATGGAAGCAGCTATGTACCCTGCTGCTTCTTTCTGGCCAGTTCGGCTTTGCTACGAACCTTCGGCCAGAGCCCACGGGTGATTCGATCTAGGCAATCACGACGGTTACCATTGACGGCATCGCGACATACTGCACCTAGCTGTCTCAATTGCTCAGACGCAAAACAGCCACACGCAGTACAAAACCAGATGCCCAACCCCGAATGAAATCTGATGACGTGCGACAAGTGAGCATATCCCCCCGAGATGTGCACCCGCATGCCTGGGGGGGGTCGCCTTATAATGCCGTCCACGTTAATTAAGGAAAAACAAGGTGAGCTCAGCCACTCGGTTTTACGAGCATGGGAAGCAAAACCCTGACACCTGGAACAGCTCCTGGAGTTTTCCTTGAGACAGTGCTGGGTCGAAAACATGGCACACACGCTGGCCGCTGGGGGCCGAACCACAGAAGAGGCATTCTGCTGACGCCTACGCCTGCGCCTACCCCCCTCGGCGGCCTCGAGTCTTTCCTCGGCATGGAGGGCCTCAAGGGTGCTCTGGAGGATACGCATACGAACTGCGAAAGCCTGTTGCTCTGCTAAATGGATGCGTGCACGTGTCGACTCAGGCAGGCGGCCCATATCGGCCCCTGCAGCTGCGAAGCAGTCGGCAAATGTATTTCCGATCACTAAATTGCGGGGGGCGATTCCTTTTACAATGTGTTCACTCTCGAGGTGAGAGTGAACAAAAAGGACAGAGCAATACACTTCATCCCCCCGCTGCTGCAAAATCTGACCTACCGTCCACCACAAGTCTGCGTCTGGCCCTGACGGGTGCAGCCAGCGCCTCTGATGCCAACCTGATGCCACGGTGTCGTTGTCCGTAACATACGCTATCTGACCAGACGCATGACGGAGCGAGAAAACTAGACAGTAGAGCTCACCTCTGGCCACGGTCTGCCTGGTGCCTGGGAGGGGGCTCCAAAGACCTAGGGTCAAACTCATGCTGCTGACGTCCTGGAAGACAGCTAATCCAAGGCCTACTCTGCGCAGCAAAGGGGAATGGGTGTCGGGACCCCCACTAGCATCCCCGAAAATAAAGACTGGCCTCCCTCTAGAGCTCTGAGCCGCTACCCCGAAGTCGAGGTTGTTGGACATAACCCACTGCTCAGCCTCTGGGGGGGCCTCTACCTGCAGCCAAGACCTAGGAATCAAGCCTCGAGTCCAATAGCATTCCTCAGACTCAGCTTGCACATACGCTTTGGCTACTAAATCTTCGCTAAGCTTGTACACAGGGTGCTCCGATCTGCTGCTGCACCCCCACACTCGATGGAAACTAGTCTCTGGCACGAGGCGGCAACGCGGGCATTTCACATCGAGCGTCTGCCGACATCTTGCCTGCCTCCTCGTGCGCGGCCACGCCGCGCCCGCAGCCGCGGCGAGAAGCAGCCCCGCAAGCCGCCTGCCGCCTGGCGCCAGCTCCAGCTGCTGCAGCAGGCGGCGGTAGGAGTGGTTGCACACCCCCTGCTCCATGCCCGCGCCGCCGAAGTGCCGCGCCGCTGCCTCCCACGAGCGTGCCTCGATGGTCGTGCGGAACTCGGCGAAGAAACTCTCGGGCACGTCCAGCACGGGGTGACCAGTCATGCTAGACTCGTTGAACTGCCACTCGGAATTGCCGTCTGGCGTGGTCCACACGTTCGGCGCCTCGGGCTTCCAACCCGCGTCGAGGAGGTACGCAATCGTCGTGCCTTGAGGCCCACGTATGTGACGACAGCGAACAGCAGGAGGTAGCGCCGAGAAATCAGCAACCATGTCCGTCCATGTTCGTGAAATACCTGCTCTCAACGCCGGTTGTGAACTCCACATGGCAAGCCACATTCTCAACGTATCGCATGGCAACTTGTACTGAGGGTCGCGGTCGGCAGCCTTCAAGTCCAGTACAGTGGTCAAGCAGCGGCCTGTGAGGCGTGGTGCGACCGCGTTGGCAAGCTTCCTCCTGACCTGCTGCATCTGACCTCCCCAAACGCCGTGCAAGTGATGCCCGTACAGCCCTGCTGGTTGGGCTCCTTGAAGCTCCAGGCGTGCTGGCACACGGTAGCGGCGCAGCGCTCGAGCGAAACCCACGATCTTCTTGGACATGGCCGCGTGCTTCTGGGATCTCGCTCGTCGCGTGGCCCGCCCGTGACGCCTGCCCCCTGCGAGGTCGGCGCCCAGGTAGGCAGCCTGGCTGGCCGCCTTCAGCTGGAAGCCACGAGCAGCGACTCGACGCACCACCGACCTCGCATCTGCCAGATGCGTGCACACAATTACAGACTTGGGTGAGACTTTCAACCCGTTATCAGTGAGCGCTTGACATGTGTCCACAATACAAGCCACTAACTGCTTCCTAACAGAACATCGAGATCCTTTTGCCGTCTGACTGAAATCGTCCACCCATAAGCGATGAGACATATTGACATGGCAGGTCGTGATGTGCTGAAGAATGTGGAAGGTGGTGCATTTCCCGAACCGTGTGCCCGACCTCAGCCCCTGCACGATGGAGCGCGTGGGGCTGAACGGGAACCCGTAAGCCCCTCCTTGCCTGACACATCTAGCCGCCATACATTGCTGAAGTTCGAGCCCTAATATCTCAGGTGGAAACTCCAGTCGAAGGGCAGCCTTGGCCATACGATACCATCCCACAGAATCGTAGAAACTTGCGATATCGATCATCCCATTGCCGATGGAGGCCCCGAGTCGAACTGCAAGCTCTTCGTCAACTGACCGAAGAAAAACTTCACGCAGCGCAGCGTTGCCGCGCACCGCGGCATCCCAGTGCGCCTCGCACTGGTCCGTCCACGCGCGCACGTGCTCCTCGCGGGCCTGGGACCACGTGCGGGCCAAGTGCGATAGAAGGCCTATCACGCGGTCCCCTGCCACCTTCTTGGGCAGTAGGGTGCCCACCGTGAGGAGCACTTGGTGAGGCCACACCTGGTGCTGCTCGCAGAGGGTGAGGATGCCCGCCAGCTCGCTGATGGCCGCGTCGGGCAGCCTGTCGTAGTCCAGGCAGCACGTCCTATCGACCCCCATGGCAGATGACGGTTTCATCCGTCGCAGGGCCGCTCGGATATCTGCTACCTCCAGCGGTGCCAACGCCTCCCCTCTTACTCGCTCACGAATCTCGTCGAGCACCTCAACGAGCAGATCGAAGTCGTCTGACTCGGGACCCCATAGCTGCTGCCAGTGCTGGCTCTTGCTGTCGAGGATGTCGCGAGGGTGCACCAGCGTCGTCGGCCCCACCTCGAGCGTGTCAGAGGGAATAGGTGTCTCCTTGATTGCTCGATGTAACGCGCCAACAGCTGGTGCAGACTCTGACCATTCCCGAAATTCGATGAGCGATCTCTGGATCGCTCTCTGCTGGGCACGCCTAGCCAAGCGTACCGTGAACTCGACAAGCTTCGTGAAACTGTCGTCGTCGAGCGTGGTGATGCTGTCGAGCTGCCGTCGCCACTGTGCCCACTTGTAAGGATCACCTCGCCGCAAGACTCGGTGTGCCTCGTCAGGACACTGCAGGCCTAGACTCTTGAGCGCTGTCACCAATATCTGAACCTGCTTGTCACCGTTTTGCCGCCGACGGTGACTCTGGAGTGAAAGTAAAATGTTGGAAACTCGGGTCCACCAGCCTGCAACTCGGTCGCGAAGTGGAGTGACTCTCTGCGGCTTGGACTGGTGGACCTCGCACACTCGAAATTGCGCTGCCTGCCCTCTGCTGACGAGAGGTTCAGCTTGGCCGTGGTGCGTGTGGATGGCACTCTCGACCGATCTTATCCAACTGCAATATAAGGAACTGATGTGTGGAGAAGCGGCCGAAAGGGATCCGAGCCGAAAAGCTACGGACGACGCAACGGCAGGTGCAGGGAGGTTAGACGAGCTCGGGGAGAACCCGATTTTCCTTCTGGCCTGGATCCATTCGTCGTGACTGATGGCGAAACTGGCGGAGCCTAGGGTGTCAGGGGGCTCTGAGCTCACCGATTCAGCTTGGACCTGATTCAGTTGGCGACCCCCAGGCTGGGCGGGGCTCTCAGAAGGCTCACTAGGGGTTGAATTAACACAAGCTGGCTCGGATGACTGAGGCTGACTACGCTCGTGCTGCTGCTGACCCACAAAGAGAGGCGGGGCGGCGGGCTCGGGAGTGCCGAAGTTGGGCTCGTTGGCCCAAGGGTCGTAGTCAAAGTCCTCGCCCAGAAAGTCGCCCTCGTCGAGCGATCTGTGGGACGCGACCTCGCCTTCGGAAACTCCCTCCCCCTCGCTCTGGCTCTCAACCTTTTCAATCGCAAGAGCCTCGCCAAACCACTCCTGAATTCGAGCATTGCGCTTCTCGAGCGCCAACTTCTTAAAGCTGTCTCGCTTGGCTTTGCTGATGCTTGACTTCGAGCCTTCGATCGCTTGCTGCCCCGGCCTAGCCACTTTGGGAAACCTGGGAGCGAGTTCCAAAATTCTGGTGAAGAGCTGATTGGCTTCTCCTACGAGGTCTACATGGAGGCCTATGTGGGGACGCCACGGCGCATCACACACAGCACGCACAGCGCGGACATAGGGTCGCGCGGCAGCGCTGACAACTAAATAATCTAGGTGTGAAGGTTTGCTATCCCCCCCAGGGGTACAAGTGAAATCGGCTTCGCAACAAAGGACCTGGCCTCCTACCCTGTCTAGAAAACCAGTCCGAGCTAACGAGCCTGGGGTGAAATTCCAATCGGCGGCAACGATCCAGGGGAGTTGGAGCGAGGAGAGGAGGGAAGCGAGCTTCCTAAACCTGGGAACATTCTGATCACGCATGTCGATAGACGAGTGACCATAGAACGTGAGCACGACTACAGAGTATCCTTTTAGCTCAAGCACTACCGGACAAAAACCGTCGAAAGCATTGCCTCGCTCGGCCTTGAGTCCTGGAGCTGCCCTCGCCTCATCCAGCACTTGGGCTGGACGATGTCGTGCGCACAAGAAGATCTCCCCTCCCTCGTTCGAAGTTGGATCAGCGTTGCTAAACCATTTACTCTTGGGTCTGGCTGGATTCGCAAAAAACTTGAGTGCTGACTCACGAGCTTTCTTTTTCCAGCGCTGCATCTGCGAAGCCCCCACGTGGGACTCACACAGGCCGATGTACGTGTAGGTCTGCATCAACGTGCCCACGACATGCCCCCATGCTTTGTCGCCCATGCACGTGATATTCGAAAAGAACATAGCTGTCGTTGCGCTGCTCGTGGTTGTAGTACAACCTGCAGCTCCCGATGAAGGTGTAGATGGAGACGGGCCAGAGGGCGGAGCGGAGGTAGAAGAGGTAGAGGATGAACCAGTAGACGCACTGGTCGAACCCGTCGTCGTGGCCGTAGGAGGTCCCGACGACACACTCGTGGAAGTACCTAGTCACGAGTTGGCAGCCTGCGTCTGCCCAACTCCCTTGCCCGTGGTCTGGCCGCCCTTGCCGTTGGTCACTGCCTCTGCCGCCTCGAAGCGGGCGCGTGACAGCTTGTCAGCCTCCTGCTTGATGGCCTCCTCCTTTACGGCGGCCTCGCGGACAGCGGCAGCACCTGGTGCCTCGCCACCCGCGTCGGCAGCAGAGCCCGTGGCTCCCGCCGCCTCGGCCTCCGAGGGTGGAGGGACCCCGCCGCCCTCAGCGGCTTGGCCGTCCTGCGCCTTGCGCTTCTTCTTCATGTGCTCCGCGACCTCCTCCTGCGCCGACTTCACCTTGTCGACGAAGGCCTGCCACTGGCTGTTGCGCTGCTCCAGCGTCTGCTGGTAGTGCTTCAGCTCTTGCTGCAGCTCGCGAAACTTCTGCTTGTCCGCCTCCTCGCAGTCCCACGACTCGAAGGAGTCGAACACGTCCATGTTCATCTGGATGCCGAAGACCGACGGCGCGCCCTCGGCAGCTGGAGCGATCACCACTTGGGGTTTCACTCCGACCGCCTGCGCCAGCGCCTCCGTCGCCGCCGTCTTGGCCGCCGCCGCGCGCGCGAGCTCGAGGGCTGCCTCGCGCTCCTTGCACTCGGCGGCGGCCAATTGCTTTCTCAATCTGACTACTTGACTAATCATCTGCTCGTGCCTGTTGTTGGCAGCCTTCCACGCTCCATCCGCTTTCTTCACTGCGTCGACCTCGCTGGATGAGCCGCTCTTGGTGGCGTCCTGCTCCGCGAGGCGCTCGCTCTGCTGCTTCAGGATGGCGTGCAGCTCTTTGTTGGCCGTGGAGGCTGCCATCGCCTGCTGCAGGATGGTCACAAGCTCCTTGTTGCCTGCGCCGCCTGCTGCAGAGCCTCGCCGCCCCCTCGGAGTGCCTGGACTCGAGGAGGGCTGCTCGTCCTCGAAAGTGACCGACTTGGGCCTCTCGGCGGAACGAAAGCGAGGCCGAAAGATCTTGACTTGTCGACCACACTGTCCACAGCGGTTGCCACATAGCGCCAGCTTGTCGTTGTACTCGTCCCGCTTGCAGAACTTGCACCGACTCCAGGGCCGCGAAAAAGTCTGTGGCGCCATGCTATGACAGTAGGAGATGCCCAGCTTTCGTGGGCGAGAACTGAATGTGAGGGTAAGACAGATTCTCGCACTCCCCCAAGCACCCCGTGAAGGGACTGGGCAGGTTCAAGCACGGGCCTTCACTCGGGGGTGAAGGACTTGGTGCTCGAGCCTATATGGCTTGAGGGAGGGGGAGAAGGAGGATGATGATGATGAGGAGGAGGCGGAGGAGGGAGGAGGAGGAGGAGGAGGAGGAGGAGGAGGAGGAGGAGGCGGAGGCGGAGGCGGAGGAGGAGGAGGAGGAGAGGAGGAGGAGGAGGAGGAGGGAGGAGAAGGAGGAGGAGGAGAAGGAGAAGAAGAAGGAGAAGAAAACGAAGAAAACGAATAATAAGAAGACGAATAAGAAACAAAAAAATAAGAATACTAAGAAGAAGGAGGAGGAGGAAGACGAGGAGGAGGAGGAACATAAACAAGGAGGAGGAGGAGGAGGAGGAGGAGGAGGAGGAGGAGGAGGAGGAGGAGGAGGACGGCGGATGAGGAGGGAGGAGGAGGAGGAGGAGGAAGATGAGGAGGAGGAGGAAGAAAAGGAGAAGGAGGAGGATGAGGAGGAAGAGGAGGAGGATGAGGGGGAGGGGGACGGGGAGGGGAATGAGGATGAGGATGAGGATGAGGAGGAGGAGGAGGAGGAGGAGGAGGAGGAGGAGCGGGAGGATGAGGATGATTATGATGATGCGGATGCTGATGTTGATGATGATGCGGATGATGATGATGATGATGATGATGATGATGATGATGATGATGATGATGACGCTCATGATGATGCTGTTGCTGATGATGATGCAGATGATGATGATGATGATGATGATGATGATGATGATGATGATGATGATGATGATGATGATGGTGGTGATGGTGCTGATGATGCTGCTGCTGATGATGATGATGACGACGACGACGACGTTGATGGCGCTGCTGATGATGATGACGATGCTGATACTGATGATGATGAGGCGGAGGAGGATGAGGAGGATGAGGAGGAAGAGGAGGAAGAGGAGGAGGAGGAGAGGAGGAGGAGTAGCAGGAGGACGAGGCTGAACAATCATATTAATACTAGTATGCATAAGCAGAATAAGAAGGCTACAACGATGAACCATGATACTACTAAGAAGATAATGCGAATCCTATTATGACTACCACCACTAATATTACTACTGACAATTAATATTAACAAGGAGGCGAACCCTCATACTAAAAATAATACGAAGACGAATGCTACGACTAATGCGACGAATACTTATCCGAAAACGAAGCAGACGCATACTCAGAATAAGACGAGTATGGCAAACATGAAGACGCACAATGCGACTACGGATAGTAATACGAAGGCTAAGCAGATGCCGATCACTAAGAATCTGAATAGTACGACGACTAATGCTAATTATGCTAAGAATGTCAGGTGAACGCAAGGATAAGACTACTGATATTAATGCGACTAATATCAGTAATAACACTAATACTACGATTCAGAAGAAAAACAACAATAAGACGAGGAGGACGAGGAGGAGGAGAAGCAGGAGCAGGAGGAGGACGAGAAGGAGGAGAAGGAGGAGGAGGAGGAGGAGGAGCAGGAACAGGAGGAGGAGGAGGCGGAGGAGAAGGAGTGGGAGGGGAAGGAGGAGGAGGAGGAGGTGAAGGAGGAGGACGAGGAGGAGGTGTAGGAGCAGCAGCAGCAGGAGGAGGAGGAGGAGGAGGAGGAGGAGGAGGAGGAGGAGGAGGATGAGGAGGAGGAGGAGGTAGTGTTGCGGAGGGTGCGTGCCTCTGAAGACAGCGGCAGCAGCGGCAGCTGCAGCGTGCCGGTCGGCTCGAGTGGTCGCCCCCGGGGTTCGGAGGCGTCGTCTGCCCAGGCCACCCCAAACGCCGCCCTGTGCGCGTCGCCCCCTGGGGGGCCGCTGGGCGTCCTCTCCGGGGGGCAGCGCGAGGGCGCGAAGTGATCTGCGCGTCAGGCGTCGCGGGGCGCTATGTCAAGCAGTGGCGAAGCGTCCCGGCTCGCCTATAGCCCCACCAAACAATGTTCTAAGAACCTCTTGTGGCTCCCACGACATGTTCTTAGAACTTCTTTTGCTGGTACTGTCTTGTTTTAACACATCGGGCTTATGTTCTAAGAACATTGTTTTTGTTCTTAGAATATTTTTGTGTTCCGAGAACATTTCGTGGTATGGCTATAGGAATGTCGGGACGGTCGGTCCCTGCTCAACTATGAGCTCAGTTCGTTCGGTAGCACATCGTGGGAGCCTCGTGTGCCCTCTGGATTCCGCTCGTGGCGCCGATGAGCGACGACTGGCGCTTGGGAGTCGAGGGGATGGCGCCGATTCGGCGTCGGCTGGCGTCGGCTCGCGTCGCCTAAGCGTCGATTGGCGTCGACTAGCGTCGATGAGCGTCGATTCGCCAAAGCCGACAAGATGGTATGGGAGGCTCCCAGGAGTTGCCACCGAAAGCTCGGTGACCCCGGGTGTTCTCTTCGCGCCGAAGGCCCCGGGGAGCCCTCGACGCCTCTCGTCGCGGGGCGAGCGCTTGGACGGTCCCGCGGCCCGGCGACGGCTTGAAGTCGAACCTGTCCCTGTACAGCTCTACAGGGGGGATATTCAAGAATAGTCAAACCATAGTCTGGGGACTATGTTTTGATCATTTTTTTTGTTGTTGTTTTTGCTTTTGTTTTGTCTTTCGTTCAAGATCCCCCTGTAGGGGGACACGCCCGACTTGACGATAGCTGCCTGCAGAGGCCCTCTCTGAAGACGGCGGCGGGCGTGCTTCCTGGGCGGCGCCTGCGCCCAGGCCTGCGACGAGGAGACGAGTTCAGTCCGCGGCCCCGGGGCTCCCGACCGCTTCCCCGGGTCCACTTTAATGGAAGTCGATCAGTGGAGAGGAGGCATGTTACCAGACAGCAGATGTCCAAACATGTTTCAGACGTGCCGTTCAAGTGTTAGAGCATACGTTAACCATTCTTCGAACATCTTTTTAAGCATGTAGCAGACATTCCAAAGTCATGGACAGTTCAATGACCGATCGAGTGTCCGTTGTCATGGCATCCACACGTCCAGTTGACACACCCGATCTACCAGGAAGCTGGATGCACGTGACTCAGGAGGGAAACAAATACACACAGGCACAATTAATCCGCGAATCCCCAGAACATGTGGGAAAATATGGGAAGTGGGGGGGAAGACAGAAACCCACAAAATATAGGAAAATATGGGGAATAGTTTTACTTGTGTGTGTTTATTGGTGTGTCCTTGAGCCCCTTGAGTGACGCGGCAGGCCCGAGCGAGAGCCTGCCGCGCGCACCTGTGGCCAGGCGTCCCTCCAGTGCTCGGCCCCTCTCTGGCCAGGTTACACGCCGGGCTTTCGCGTGTGTATTCGGCGCGTGGCCAGGGAGGAGAAGAAGGAGGAGGAGGAGGAGGAGGAGGAGGAGGAGGAGGAGGAGCAGGAGGAGCAGGAGCAGGAGGAGCAGGAGGAGCAGGAGGAGCAGGAGCAGGAGGAGCAGGAGGAGCAGGAGGAGCAGGAAGAGGAGGAGGAGGAGGAGGAGGAGGAGGAGGAGGAGGAGGAGGAGGAGGCGGAGGAGGCGAAGGAGGAGGCGGAGGAGGAGGAGGAGGAGGAGGAGGAGGAGGAGCGTGGCCTTCAGATCTTCTCAGGAGCCATGTGCGTTTCCGTCTTGCTGGTGCGTATTCCCGACGGCCCCAGGGCCCGGCAGTTACAATTAACAATTGCACCATATGAATACTACTCTCCTCCGTCCCCTGATGGCGTGCGGAAGATAGCGGGCACCCCTCCGCGCACTGTTTTTTACACACAGGATTTCCCAGAGTTGGGTTTTCGCTTAGGTTTTTTTCAAAATGATGCTCTCGCTGAGGCGCGGGCTTCATTTCCGGGCTTCGCTCGTTCCGAATCGTGCTCCCGCTGCAGCGCTGGCCTCATTTACGCGCTTCCGCTCGTTCCGAATCGTGCTCCCGCTGCAGCGCTGGCGTCATTTCCCGTGCCATGCCACGGCATGCAATGGAATGCTAGGTTGCGTTCCGCTGCGCGATGCCATGCCTTCAGCTGCAGCTGTCATATCCAGTGCTGAAGTGCACGCCATGCTATGCAATGTTATGTTCGGGGCCGCTGTGCGATGCCATGCTTTACGTTGCAAAGCTTTGTACTTCAATTCTTCACTGCGCCACGCCACGCCATGCTGTGACATACTACGCTTTGCGGTGCTCTTCTACGCCATGCCATGCCGTGCTCTACAATGCATCGCGTACCCTTTCGGGATCATTGCCCTGCTCGACATCCGACTGTGCGAGTAGAGAGGGGATCTACGCCATGGTAAGGGATGGGAGGGAGGGGTAGGATGTCAGATATGACGCGAGCGCACCTAGCTTGCCCCCCCCCTCCCCCCCTCCCCGAGCGTCTCAACCTGAACGGCGGGACGTGATTGTCAGACCAACCCGGCCCGAGAAGGAGGCAGCCAGGACCAAGGTGCGCGGCCCACCCCTGCCCGCGGCGGAGGGGGAGGGGGGGAGCGGTGGGAGGAACGGGGGCCGCAGTGAATCCACCAAACCACCAAACCGCCCAAACCCAACCCGAAGGCCTCAATTTGCCCTCCATTTCCAGTGGGGTTGGGGGTTTGGGGAATATGGATAAATCACATGGACCCCGCCCCCCCCCCGAAACCCGAAATTCGAGTCGAATTCGGGTCTTCGGGTTGGGTTGGGGTGGTCTGGTAGGTAGTCAGTGAAGGAGACGGGTCCTGAGGGAAACGGGTCCTAGAATCCTAGACCCCAGGGCTGCCCAGGATGAGTTTCGGATGCAACTCCTGGGAGGTCACATTTTCTGACGTTGCCACGGTCCGAACTCCGGCTCCATCCCGCTTCGTCCCGATGGAGCCATCTGCAACCCGCCCAATCCGGCCTCATCCCGCTTAACCCGCGGCCCAGATGGGGCTTAAGCCTCCTTACTCCAGATTTCATAATAAAGGGAGGGGGGTCTCATTTCGGGGGGGGGGTCTCTTCCGAGCTATCTTGGAGGGCCTGGGGGGGTCTGGGGACGATGTTTTGGAGGGTTTTCCCACGGGGGAGGTCTGAAATGGCTTGTCTTGGAGGGTCCAGACCCCCTCCCTTTTATTACGAAATCTGGAAGAAGGTCCTTTCGACGAGGACCTCCCAGTAGCTGCCTCCGGAAGGAGTCCCTCGTGCTCACCGCCCACCAAACCACCCCAACCCAACCCGAAGGTCTCGATTTGCCCTCCATTTCCAGTTGGGGGGGGGGGTCGGGGAACATCGAGAAAACACATATGGAACCCGTACCCCCCCCCAACCCGAAATTCGGGTCTTCGGGTTGGGTTGGGGTGGTCTGGTAGGTAGTCACGTGCTGCGCCGTGTCTGGACGGCCCCCGCGGGCCTGCGGAGAGGGCCCCAGGGGGGCCAGAGAGCGGGGGAAGCCTTTCCGGACCCCTTTCCTCGCGGACCCGTCTCCTGGAAAAGGAGATCGGTAGTCCCCAAACGTGGTGGTGACAACACCTGGCGGTGAGTCTTGGGCGATTTGGTGTCACCACCCGGTTTGGGGACTCGTGCGGTTTTCCGAGGATGTCCCGGACACTGGTGGGTCCAGGAGTCACAGAACCCGGCGGTGACCCCGCGTCCCCAAACCCAGCGGTGACCTTTTTGGGGATTCCAGGTCGCCACCTGGTATCTCACCATTTGGTTTGGGGGCTCCCAAGGAGAGCACGACACCGCAGCGGCCTGTTTGCGCATGCGTTCGAACCGACACCGGCGGGGCAGGAAAACATAAAGTCGTCGTTCGATTTCTGTTTCACTACGCTGGGTTGGACCAAACTCGCAATCAGATTTGCATTTACCTCCACCCTAGTTTCGTATTTCTGGAGGGGGCAGGGGGATGTTCGACAAAAAATCCAAAATACCCCCAAAAGATACCCCAAGGAGATCAACACCTATTCCAAACATAGTCCCCAGACTATTTTTGGACTAGTTTCGGATTATTTTTGGGGTACTTTCTATTTTTCGTAGAAAATCCCCCTGTAGGGGGACAGGCCCGACTTACTGCTGAGCGGAGGCGGGAAGGAGGAGATCGCACGGCGCCTGTTGTAAGAAGCTGCACCGCCCGGCGGAGCCTCAGCGCTAAGCCCTTCGAGTGCGGTCCCAGCGTCCTGCGGCCAGCCGGACCGCGTGGCGGGCGGCTCGTGCGGGGCTCATGTCCTTGCAGGACCGTCCTGGGGCCTCCGGGCACTTCTGCCTCACGAGTCCAACTGCATTCGCCCGATGGCGTACGCTCTGCCTGCGTGAGAGTCGCCGCACAGAGGCCGAAGACAAAGAGAGAACCGCGCCGCGACCGAGAGGATCAGAGGCCGAGGAGCGGAGGCCGAGGGGATCGAGGATCCAGGGGCGAGGATCAGAGGTCGAGGGCCAGAGGTCGAGGAGATCGAGGAAGAGAGGTCGAGGAT